TTAAGCTTTGAAATCTATTTATAAAGTATTAGTTAAAAACTCTAGAATAATTGCCCAACTGTGTACCATCCCTGTCTCTTATACACATCTAGATGTGTATAAGAGACAGATATTATTCACTGTCGTATATATATAGGTTATACGATCTTACTTATATATATAAGTGGGCATGAATTTTTTTAAAGTGCATTTTTTATATAAAGAATAATAATAAAGACGTTTGTCAGACTATTGGAAGTGTTTGATGATGAATGAAAAAAGCTTTAATTGAAAGTAAATGTGAATTGAAGTTGTCAGATTTTATTAGGATAGTACATCTTAAGTATGTACATTGTAATTAGGAAGAACCATAATTGAAAGTAATGATAATTTTCACGCAGTTTTATCTTTTCTGACAAACTAAAGATGCAACTATATAATTAGTTTCACATACTTGACACCCAGTCACTCACCACTTATTACAGATAACTACTAAATTAGCAATTAATCTACTTTAAGGGAAAGCTATGTATTATTTGAAGCTGTTTGCTGCAATAATACGGAAGTGTTAGTGTAAAAAAGAACGATTTTTAAAGAAAATAATAGTGTTAGTGTAGGCTGTAACAATTTTGAATTAAGTATAGTGTCTCCTTTAGATACACATTTTTGTCACCATGGTTTTATTATATCAAAGAAATACACGCAACTGAAAGAAACGTGCTGTAAAATTCTGGCGTTGAAAATTTCGAATCTAAGACCAATGACGACGACGCTGAAGATAGTGATGAACATAAATATGATGATGTTGATGATAGTGGTGATGATGATGATGATGACGATAGTGATGGTGGTGGTGATTGTAATGATGACGGAAATGATGGTGGTATTGGTAATGATCTCATTTAATATAATAAATCTACATCTTAAACTAACAGGAAACAATATATCAATTAAATTCATGATGTGAAACAATACTAAAACAACAGCCACTATTAAAAGATAATTATATAAACAACGGTTGAATCAGTTTAAGGACACACGAGGTTTTAATTTAATTATTATCATTTCAGGAAAAAATGAAAATCAGTCTCCTGATGACGTACCTCAAGATGTGATTCATGTTTTTCCATGAGATGAATTACATGAACTATAACACGTTTAGCCATATTTTAATCTTTGTCTAAATTTTTTCACACTTAGTTACTTGTAGATGATGTAGATGTATAATTTCAGGATTTTGTATAGTTAAATATCTGTTTAATAATGTCAAATGAGTATGTCATTTGATCTTTCAAATGATACGGCACATTAATTGTCTTGATTAAATTTTTTGTTGTTTTTTTTTTTTTATAGATTTTACTTACTAATATTAATAATATTTTTCTTTTTATTAATGTTTTTTTTATTATTTTGTTAAATTTTCATTCCCTTTTACTATTCTGATAAGGTTTGCATTTCTTGACTCTGTTGAATGATACACGATCATGACTCACTGATGTGTGTGGGAATTTACATTATTCTAATTATACCGTGCAGTATTTTCGGTTTATAAAGGACCGTTATTCTGTACATATTCATTCATTTTAAACAAATCTGACCCTATGACTAACAGTGGTTTTCTGAAACTACACTAAGCTGGACCCCAAATATGGAATTATATTTAGTTGAAACAAATAATAAATAAATCGTTCGTTCGTTTGTATGGATCATAATTTTAATTGATATTATTAATTGACTGGAACAGTCGTAGCAGGGTCATCGACAAGCAGGTTAACAGCATGACCCTCCCATTTATACTCCTGGGTGAAGACGAACAAATGTAAGTAAAGTGTCTTGCCCAAGGACACAAGCAATGCGACGAGCGTCGGTCTCGAACTCCCGATCTCACGATCAAGCCCAACACCTTACACCCTGCGCCACACGCTCCCACCTAACAAACGGACGAACGAATAAATAAAAAAAAAAACAAAGATAAAAGTAAGTAAAGTAAAATTTAGAATAGGCCTAATTGTAATAGATTTTAATTAAAAATCTAACTTTGAAACCTGTTTTTCTAATAATGAATTTAATCTTTAGATACTACAAAGGTCAGATCAGTCTAATTGTTCACGACAGTGACTTTTATTATCCAAAGAATCATCAATGTACCATTAGTGTTTTTCTTGTATACAACTCTATACATCAGTTATGATTAAAGCTAATTAGCAAACACATAATTTATGAACCATTAGTAAAAAAAAAACCATTCAAATTCGACTAAAGGTTTTCTTATTATTTAATCAAACACAACGATTACTCGGTCTACGCTATTGGCTATCCAATATTTATTTCAGTTGCTGTTGGATATCACATTGGTCTAAAGTATTTACCAAAACCAATAATTATTCACTGACCATCAATAATTCCAATTTATTATTATTTAGGCATAGTTTATTTACCCGGTAGTATGCCTATACTGTTTTCGTGATGATTGGTGAGGGTGCATTCCAACCCTAGCATTAACGATAAGAAAATTCGAGGCTTAGCTGACAAAATAAACACTTAAATATATAAACATATTAATTCATATTTAACCCAATATTCAATGAACACATGACAACACTTCACCAATATACTTATTTTGATAACCATTGTACTAATTCCAAATTCACTGATTGTACAAATATATTTTACTAGTGAATATCGGTGACTGTACCAAAGAATGGTTGAAAACATAGGTGAACCGGAAACGCTTTTCACAACAGGAAGGAGACAATCATTATTTCATAATAAACATGTGTTTTGTCAACGAGAATTGACAATAAGATACAATGCGTTTTTAGCAATATGCATTCCTATGTTTTTATTAGTTGTTTTTAAAAGTATCGTCATTTATAGAGATCCACCAGTTTTCTTAGCTTCAGATTGAATTTGGTTCGGGGCCCGATCATTAGCTTAAGTATTTAATTGAATATAATATAAGCAGTGTCTCACGTAGTCGGGAAAGGGCCGATAAAGTATGGACAGAAAAATAACCACCGAAAAAGACGGAACGGAAGTAGGCCTTTCCAAGACACCACACCAAGACAAACTATACATGGAGTAGTACAACTTTTGAAAGAAAAAACCTTTCACTCTCATTGCTCCTTTAAAATTAAGGTGGAGAAATTTAAGTCACCTGGGTCGATTTGAGGTTGTAACTGAAGGGGATTTTCTGACCCAGGCAACCTTTCAGGCCCTATAGAGAGGAACGATAATGGATCCGATTTTGATGTTTATGGCATGCGGTGCTGTTTGTGGGTTGCAACGATTAGCGGTAACCCCTAAGGTCTCTGAGAATAGCCAAGGTGTACCGTATTCGATAGACTCACGGGCAAGTCACACGGATTCTATGTTTTTGTGAAATTGTGTGTTTTAAATTGTATGTACTGTACGAGTTACGCATGGTGGCGAGAGAATAATATAAAACTCAAAATATAGCCCTATTTTTGAAACTTATAATGTATATTGTTATTTTTCCCAGAGTAAAATGTAAAAGTGAAAAAAGAAATCTTCGAAACATCTTCAATTCATCAACAACAAAGACTATCCGAATGTCAGTTGAATAATAAGACGGGGTCACTTAACTCATCCAATAAACTGGTAATACACGAAGCGTGCCTAAAATGTTACTTAAGGACTTAATCACACAGGGTCTTCAATGAACGTTGATCGTACATGAATTTTCGTGACAGCTACAAATATGAAAGTACAAAAAATATAAGCCTATGACGTGCCTACAAAAATTTTTAGAGGTAACAACATTTTGATTTTGTTGGTATCCCGGATTATACAGATTATTTGACTACGAGAAATATTTATTTCTTCAGAATTTATGATTTATTAATAGTCAATATTATTAATATATTATTATACAATTACGATAAGTTACGTCTTATTTGTCACTCACACAACATATGGTAGTAATAGTAACAGTAGTAGAGTAGTACTGTAGTAGTAGTCTCTGGATGGTGGATGTTGTGCAGTTAATAGTAGTAGTACAAGTGAGTATTTTAGTATTTGTAAAAGTAGCAGTGGTAGCATAGCAGCAGCTCATCATTTACATCAGTGCCAGCCTCCAACAGATTTATTTATTTATTTATTTATTTGTTTGTTCTTTATATTGGGTTTCCTCTTCAGTAACAAATTACTGTTCTCCCAGAGGGCCCAGCACACATAAAACAGTCCACAACACCCAAGACAAACATACACAAATGATGCTTTACACAAACTAAATCTCAATATGAGGTATATATATATATATATATATATATATATATATATATATATATATATATATATATATATAAACACATTTAAAAAAACATTACCAGAGAGTGTCTAAACCCGGTTTTTAAATCAACATATGAATATATTTTTCGAGATTTACATGATTGTGAGTGAATGTATACCACACTTTTGAAAATCTTGTTTTGAATCGGTTGTTTTTATTGTGATCTATTTTAATAATGTTAGCTTTCAAATTATTTGGTTTTCATAATGACCAATACAAGTGTATGATTAAGTAAGTGAATAGTTGAAGAAACCAAAACACATCTAAAAGAAATATATTCTCTTAGATATTATTAATACAGGAAAAGGACAAGATAATGAGTCACTAAAAGATTGGACAGAAGTTCCAAAAATCCGCACAACCATTGCCAGCAATGAATAAATAACAGATGTACCAAAAGTGATTGACAAATGCATTCATTTTTTTTAATACATATTTTTTTTAATGACGTATCGTGGTCTACTTACTGTACTAACGTATGTTTGTGGCTCTCCAGCCGTAAGCGCCTTATTTAATAAGGCGCAGCGTACGGCTGAAGATAAACTAAATTTACGTAAATTGTCAGTACTCGAGAGAAATTTGAGCCACGTACGACTGTGCCAATTCTGTTTGAATATACGGTACCTTTAAATTGGATGGTAATAATCATTTTCGATGTGAAACCTAAAAGAACTATGTAAAACATATGGAAATCAATAAAATCTGATTGTTTTTTTTTAAATCTTTTATATTTAATGTTAATTACTTTATCATCTTTACAGCCTTCCGAAAGCTATAGCGCTATATACAACCGGGTATTATTGTCGTCGTCGTAACCACCACCGTCATCGACGTTGTCACTATCATCGTCGTCGTCGTCGTCGTCGTCGTCGTCGCAGTCATCATCATCATCATCAGCATCATCATCATCTTTACTATGTTTTTTATCAACCAGGCAAATAAACGCCCTACTTATTATTCTTATATTGTGTCTATGTATTGTAGCAAAATTGAGTAATATTATACAAAAAATAGCTATATGGTAGGGGTGTCAGTCGTCAACATTCAACGCACTAATTCAGTGACTGTCATCGTTATTCCGCCCAATTAATTTTAATCTTACACAAATAAGAACAGAGCTTCGTTTCCTGCTTTGAATACGCTTCTTTCGCCAAAAACTGTAAATATATAGTTATACTGTAACATACTAATATTTGAGCTTAGTTTTTTCAAGGATTTATTTACAGGAAATTGACTTGCTCACTAATTGTGATTCCTCTTCGAAATAGTACGGTATTCATTTTTTTTTCTTTATAAAGGTAACACCAAGGCAATAAAATTCCAAACATACTAGTGATTCTTACTCGTCTACTTGGAAAAATAACATATCTCATTAGTGTTCCATGCCCCATATAATAGTTATACGTAACGCCTGGCGACTGTTAGTGTTAATTGAAATATAAATGTAAAACCAAGTAGGTTTACTGTATTATTTCTTGGAAGTTGAATTGAACAGTTAGACCGAATATCTTACCATATATGTGATATATATGTAAACTACAAAAAAATCTCTATTAAATGCTATCTAAATTCGATTGATCACCGAATGAATATATTTTACAATTTTACAAATTTATTATACATAGTAATGATCAGCTCCACCGACGTGGTTGATACCGTGGTTCATCACTACTGCTGCAGCATTTTACAAGAATTGAAAAAATAGTTAATATAAATGCACTAAAAACAGCCATTCCTACTATGGATGCCATTATTATTTTTCCATTTCTACGCACAGTTTCTTTATTTTCTTCTTCTTCATCTCCACTTGTTAGCGGATCATCTGGTTTTATGGGGCTTTCGTTCGATCTTTCGGTTTTTATCCGCAATGTGGCTACAGTATTACCAATAGGAACAGCGCCCTCTCTAAAAATACTGGTTATTGGGAGTTTGCTGGGTTTAGATGACTCTGGTCTCTCGTGTGTGGTTATTGGATTTTGTGGTAAGCTTTCAAAAATATCAGATTGTCTCGCCGGATTTTCTGTTCGAAATGGTTTTACTGGGGGAATTTTGTCTGAATCCCCATTGCCCCCAAAAGGAAGTAATCCTACGGTAGGCCTAGTTATGAATGTAGGTCTAACGTAAACAGTCTTATAACTTTCTGCTACCACAGAGGGACTTCTCGGTATTTTGACCAATGTAGTACTAACCGAATTTAGTGAAATAATTTTATTTTCGTTAACTATGTCACTTTGTGTGCTCTCTAAATTTGAATTAGTTGTCTTGTCATCACCTAATTGTTTAGTCGAAACGGTGCTCATTGTGGAATTAAGAATAATTTTTCTAACGATTGCTGTTATAGGCTTTATGTGTGTCACGTGCTTATCAGTTAATTTAAATGTTGACGTAAATATAGACATAGAGGTGTCTGTTAGATTTGCTAATTCGTATGTCGGCTGAACTGCAGTAAATTGTGGTTCGTTTTCGTTAAAGTGTTTAGTAGGTGTTGTCTCTAAAATCGAAGTAAACAAAGTTGAACTTTTCTGTACATTACTGTCAATAGCGGGCGTAACAGTAATCTTCCTATCACGTGAACTCCAGATTGTTGTTTTTTCCGGGCGTGTTGACGTCTTAAGAGTCGACCAATCCGTGATCTTGGTTTGTGTTGACATTTCATTACCATCAGAGGGCGCAATTGTAGTAAACGCAAAAGTCTCATGTACGTTCGACACTCTTGGTTTCTCCGAATTTGTTGACACATTTAGCGTGTATTCAGTTTGTGTATTTGGCTGTGGGGAGGTATTGATTTCCTCTTGATTATAACTCGAATCAGTTACCATGCTCTTTAGTTTAATCTCATTGTAGTTCTTAACTGTTGTGAAATTATTCGAGTACGGTTTCTTCGAATCTACCGCCTCTGATTTTGTCACTTGTTTATGTAACATTGTTCTCATTGTATTATGCAAACTCCCGCTTGAATTAAATATTGTTGCAAAATTTGAAGTCGGTCCACTTAAAGCTGTTACGATTTTATCCGTTCGATTATATATTTTCGAAAGAGGAATATCTGTTTGATCTCTAGGTAAACTTGTAGTATAAAACGTTGCTACACTACCAACAATGCCTTTTGTAGATAATTCTTTTGAAATAACTTCCTCCGGAAAATCTGATACACTTAGGTTTTTACCCGTAGAGGGCGTTGATGTCAGTTTATTTCCTATTGAGTGTAATTGAGAGGTCTTAGTAAGAGTTTTCATATTTTCACGAATGCCTTCCATACCCCTGGTGTTAGGACTCTGATTGTTTTTATTTCTAATTGATTGCGTATTACTATTCTTTAGTATATACTTTAATGTAGATGAGGACGTGCTTCCCTCAGCATTATTGATTGATTTTTCTGTAATTAATTTATTTTTGATATACGTTTGCAGTCCATTCGGATAAGTACTATTCATTAACACCTTTGATGTTTCTGTCGTCATAATATTTGCTGACGAGCGCGTAGTGTTTGACGTCATTGTATTAGAAGACTTCAACGTTAAGGCATGTAAAATTTTGTGCAGCTTTTCGGTTATACTCTTCTGGGTTGATCCTACTGTTTTATTCAATGGAGAACTTACTGAAGAATGCAACTTTTCAAAACCATTATTTAAAGCAATCTTTTGTGATATATTTTTGGAAATTTGTTTACGATCGGTTGTAACATTCAGTATTGTCATACTTTTATCTGTTCCAAACAATGAGGGCACTAATGTAGTTGCAGTGTCACCTTCATGATTTAGAGACTCCCTTTGAAAAAAATTAACATTCTCCGAAGTAGATTTTGATTTTTTGGCTTCCGTGGTCAAATTCTCACTAAGTTGTAACGGGGGTGCACTTCTGCTATAATTTAATAATTCATCAAACAAGTTTGAAGTTGGATTAACGTGTTGTTTTGGTGTAAAATTTACTGGTTCCATAGTTTTGTTATCATTAGTATGACTTTTACTAAATTCTAGCGAAGTTGGTTTAGTTGGAGCTTTCGTTATTAGCGTAGGGATAGGCAGTATGTTAGAAAACACTGATATTGTGGTCGCTTCGTCGTTTTGTTCAGTTTGGCTTTCACTTGGTTCTAAATAGGAATTCGAATTATAAATAGTAGTTGCATACGAACTTGGGATGGTTTTTGTTTTTACAGGATTCTGTGAATTCAGCTTGCTTGCAATGAAGTTATAACTTGATTTTGTTGAGGAAATGTATTCGTCTAATGATGCAACTTCTGTCACTTTCCATCGTTCTTCTTGGTTATCAGTTACCATGTCTACAGTTTGAAAATAATTTGTTTGCTGCCCTCTAGAAAATATACCGTCTACTTTATCCAAAGAATATGAAGTTTCTGTTTTTAACGTTGGCGATGAATATATTACCTTCTCTATGACGTCACTTTGTTGTTTTGTATGTGTACCACGTGATGAATTTTTGTTCGGTTTCCATTCAAATGTATTATGATCCTTTTGCGTTGTTAAAATATGTTCTGCACTATCAACAACATTATTAGGTTCAGGTGTTATTCTTCTACTCTCATTTAATTCCGTATCTCTTGACTTAGTTTCGTGAAGGATTGGTTGAGGTGTTGTGGTTACTGGTGTATTTACATCTTTGGTACTGAGTGATGGAATCGACGATTTAACAAATGCAACTTCCGGTCCATCGCTAGAGAAGAGCAATTTAGATCTTGTAACATGGTTCGAGGTTGTAACTTTTTTAGATTCATCATGACCGTTTTTAAATGTTTCTGTTTCCTTTTTAGGTACCTTTTCCTTACCAGTACTCTTGTCTGCAGAAACATTTGATGGAAATACAAGTAATAAAGCACTATCATTTTTGTTTGCCCCAAAACGGTTTGTGATGACACAGTAAACGTGTGTTCCATTGTCATTTATTTGGAGATTTCTGAGCTTTAGCTTCGAAACGCCGTCTTTTGTTGGTGTCACCCGTGGGTCATTCTCATCGAGTAGTTTATTTCCAAGATACCAATGAAACGTAGGCTCTAAAGATTTGTCAGTGTAGCAAGAAAATGTAGCCCGTCGCCCTTCCACGGCGTCTTTGATTTTTGGTCGTAGATAAACGGGAATGTTAAATCCGATCGGTATTATTGAACACGTTTTCGGCACCTTGAACGCTTCATGCGTCGCTTTACACGTAAATACTTTTCCTCGATCATCTTCTGTTACCCTTAAAGAATGTTTATTACTTGTCACCCCATTTACTCCTCCCGATACATATACCGAAGTGATTTCAGTATCTCCCATAGTCCATATCAGCATAGGTGCAGGTTTACCACCAGAGCTGACGCAGAGCAAGTCAACCTCGTTGCCGATAGCCGCAGGGGTGGCGGGACTCATCATACACATGGGATAGTCATCCATCGGTGGATTAACGACTTTGATCTCTGCAGTCCTTGAATAATATTCATATACGACAGAGTATAAACATGCATAGGAACCTGCATCCAGGTTCGTCACATTTTCAATACGTAAGTTATATTCACCATACCTCGAGTCCCCAGCGATTGACATTCGTTCTCGTGTTTTATTTCCAAATACCATGTAAGGATCGATCTGTCTGTCCATGCTAATATATTGCTGTGTGTCCGTATTTTGCCAATACACTGGTATCTTCCCCTGGTCCCTAACAGCGCAACGTAGGGTGACAGTATCTCCATAATTTACAGTAGTATGTAAAGGCTCCGCAACAAACTCAATGGCCGTGCCGTAACTACACAGAATAAACCATACCAGCGTCAGGCCTGGAATAGCGTGCCACAGTAGCATGGTTTTAAAAAAAGGAGGCAAGAATAGGCCTACTAACAAAACGATATCAGCTGTAGTGATTGCTATTATCCAAGAACTGCACAAAACAAGAAAGCTTGTAATTATTTAATCACCTTCTCCGTACGGATCTAATGATGTTATCCTTTTTGACGCTAGTAACAATTCCGTTGCTAAGGATGAGTTGTAAATCGGCATTGTCAAATTACAATCAGTAACACAGTCCAGTCAAACATACAATTCAGCTACCCTTAACGATTAGTAAGAGTAAAAGTTAACTATGTAATTATTATCAGTAGTTAGAATTTCCGCACATAATTTAGGAAATGCGCAACGTGATGCTCAGATCATCTACTGTGTTGTAACATCCCGGCAATTCATGCAAGTTGACATAGAATCCAACAAAATCGGTTGCCTTGTGTCGTCGCCCTAATAATAAAGTTTTATGAATTCAATTCTCATTCTGTGAAACGGATTTGAAGACAGACATGAAGTCGAGCGCATGCGTAGTGTAGTGAGTAAATGGCTAACAATTGTTTTACTTATCAAATCTGGTAGCTGTGTACTTGTTCTCATTTATTATTTTCAGTGACACATTTCTGTATGGTTCCAGACAACACAATAGTAAATAGACAGGCGCGTGTGTGTATCAGTGAACAGCGGTCAATGCATTGTGTGACGTATAGACATTTATTATCCTGTATAACGTCGTGCTAAAAACTTTTACATATTTTCCACTCAATATAATTTTACAATTAAAACATTTAGGCCTATGCACGATATTGGAAGACACTATGATTGCGAAGTGTCTTTAAACAGTTTGAAATATTGAGATATAACTAACAATAACAATAATTATCTTTTTTTATCTTGTAATTTTATTGTATTGATTACATTTTTTATTGCAATTTTCGCCTGTAAGTGGGAACGAAGAGTTCCTGTTGGACGATTGTTATTTAAAAAAAAAACAAAAAAAAAAACAAAAACAAACAAACAAAGTGGAAAATATTGCTATCATAAAACTCAAATGAGATATGACGTGAGGTGGCTTAAGAAGAGAAAACTAAGCAACCAATCAGAGATAGTTGCAATGAAATCGTAGTAACATCTATCAAGGTGTTTACGACACGTATATTTATGGGGTGCTTACAACAAGGCCAACAGCAGAGAAAGTTTTGTGTTTAAATCAAATCGTATAAAACGTATAAAACCTAACCGCAAATTGAATAAATATTTATTAAATAAATACACATAAAATTGTATAGTTTGGTAAGGTCATAAGCCGATCTATATAATGTAAATTTCATTAAAAAAATTATTCATATAAATATTGTACATTAACAGTCATTTCAGTTATTAGCTACCACATTAAATTTGAAATGGGTAAGCCGCACCTATCTGAATCTCAGGACAACGTTTCAAGCATGAGGTTGGACAGAAGACCAATGTAATGGTGTCATTAACATAAAAACGAATAATATTCCACAATAATCATGCAACGACAGACTTAAGAGACTTAATAATAATAATAATAATAATAATAATAATAATAAACGTACATATTTAATGCACCGGTATTTCTGAGCTATAAGTCTACATAATTAAAAAAATAAATAAACAAATGCCAATAACTCATAGTGACCAATTGGCACAGTAAAACCAAAGGTGTCCAGGGTGGGACGCCACCATCTGATTTCGAAACAGCGTTACTGTCACACCTGCGTGCATGCAGTGCACACCCGTGTGCACGCAGGCACACGTTATGCAGTATAATGCTGGACTCCGGCACCTTCCACCTTGGGATAAGCCCTCGGCTCCGCTACCGTGCACTGCAAAGACAGCGATGCTGTCTTGATAAAAGGGAAAGTAGAGCCAAAAACTGGCCACCAAGAAATTTCTAAGAAATGAGTCTGGAGACGACACAAAACACCTTTTGGTTAAAAGACTAAACGGTGAAAAGATGTTTTTTGAGTGATTGTTTTTTAAAGCAATTTAGAGACAACGACATCTTATTAGGAACAGATAAATGATTCCATAAAGTGGGTGCTGCGCAGACACAAATGCGCGGCTACCCCAATATTTCTTGTTACGCCTCTTAACTAGTAGCACAGAATCATTGGATCGAAGAGAATCCCTACGTGGGATGTAAGGAGGTTAAGAGGTTGACTTTTTAAAGATGTTCAGATGTAAGCGTAAACCATTTTTTTGTAGATAGCCACGACTTACCGTTCAAAAGTTTTGTCCATATACAGTCATGACCTATATATTATGGTCATGATGTGATGTCATGACCATCCCGTAAGAAAATAATGTATAGAATTTCTAAAGAAACCATTCTATAAAA